TTTGTTGATTTTTTCAATTTTTAGTTCCTCCATATGTAATTATTCCATTTTTCAAATTTTCGAGTTTTTATTTTTACAATTTTTCAATCATTCAATTCGAGTATTTCGGGTTTTCGTTTTTTTCAATTTTGGGATTGTTTTCTTATTTTTCAATTTTCCGAATTTTCAGCTTCCGAACTTGGCGATTTTTTTAATGAGTTTTAAATTTTTCGATTTTTCAACTTTACAATTTTGTTGCATTTAGATTTTTCAATTCCCCAATTTTTAAATTTTTCCGATTTTTCCATTGTTTCATTTTCGATTTTTAGTTTGCAATTTTTTGTTTTTATAATTTTTAGAGTTACATACATACTTTACTTTTCGGTTTATAAAATTTTTCGATTTTTAGTTTCTCGATATTTGATTTTCCGATTTTTTAATTTTTGGATTTTTAACTTTTCAATTTCTCGATTTTGATCTTGTAATTTTTCGTTTTCACAATATTCAGATATTTAATTTTTCGGTTTTTTCAATTTTTAGTTCCTCGATATGTAATTTTTCGAATTTTTATTTTACAATTTTTCAATCTTTAGATATTCCAGTTTTTCGTTTTTTCAGTTTCACGAATTTTCAACTTCCGAATTTTTCGATCTTTTAATAATTTTTAAATTTTCGATTTTTCGATTTTATAATTTTGCTGCATTTAGATTTTTGAATTCTTCAATTTTTAATTTTTTAATTTTGGCGATTTTTCCACTATTTTATTTGCGATTTTTAGTTTGCAATTTTTGTTTCTATAATTTTTTGACACATATTTTAACTTTCGGTTTATGAAATTTTTCGATTTTTAGTTTCCCGAGATTTGATTTTTTAATTTTACGATTTAGCAATTTCTCGATTTTTAAAATTTTTTGATTTTTAACTTTTGAATTTCCCGATTTTAATCTTGCAATTTTTCGCTTTTACAATTTTTGGATTCGAGTATTTCGGGTTTTCGTTTTTTTTTCAATTTTGGGATTTTTTTTGATTTTTCAATTTCCCGAATTTTCAGCTTTATAATTTTGCTGCCTTTAGATTTTTCAATTCCCCAATTTTTAAATTTTTCCGATTTTTCCATTATTTCATTTTCGATTTTTACTATTTTTAGTTTGTAATTTTTTGTTTTTATAATTTTTAGAGTTACATACTTTACTTTTCGGTTTATGAAATTTTTCGATTTTTAGTTTCTCGATATTTGATTTTTCCATTTTTTAATTTTTGGATTTTTAACTTTATTTTACAATTTGTCAATCTTTAGATATTCCAGTTTTTCGTTTTTTCAATTTTGGGATTTTTATTTTCTCAATTGTAAGTTTACGATTTTTCAATTTGTCGAATTTTCAATTTCCGAATTTTGGACTTTTTAAATATTTTTTTAATTTTTAGATTTTTTAATTTTGGATTTAGATTTTTCAATTCTTCAATTTAAATTCTTTAATTTTTCCGATTTTTCCACTATTTCATTTTCGATTTTCAGTCTGCAATTTTTCGATTTTTAATTTCTCGATATGTACTTGATTTTTTCGATTTTTTTTTAATTTTTGATTTCAACTTTTCAATTTCTCGATTTTCATCTTGCTCAAATTAATTAAATTAAATTAATTTCCAAATATTTACACATTTCAGTTTTTCGTTTTTTCAATTTTGGAATTTTTAGTTTCTCAATCGTAATTTTTCGATTTTTCAATTTTTCGAATTTTGAGCAACCGAATTTTTCGATTTTTTTAACAATTTTTAATTTTTCGATTTGATAATTTTGCTGCATTTAAATTTTTCAATTCTTCAATTTTAAATTTTTCCACCATTTCATATTCAATTTTAGTCTGCAATTTTTTGTTTTTATAATTTTTAGATACATACTTTAATTTTTCCATTTTTGGTTTCTCAATATTTGATTTTTTGGTTTTTTAATTTCTTAATTTAACAATTTGATAATTTTTCGATTTTTTTAGTTCTGTGATTTTTATCTTTTCAATTTCTCTATTTTGATCTTACAATTTTTCATTTTTACAATTTTCAGATATTTAATTTTTCGATTTTTCAATTTTTAGTTCCTCCACATGTAATTTTTCGATTTTTCAATTTTTGGAGTTTTTATTTTACAATTTTTCATTCTTTAGATACTCCAGTTTTTCATTTTACAATTTTTCAATCTTTAGATACTCCAGTTTTTCATTTTCCAATTTTCAACTTCCGATTTTTCGACTTTTTAAATATGTTTTTAGTTTTTAAATTTTTCCGCTTTTCCCACTATTTCACTTTCGATTTTTAGTTTGCAATTTTTTGTTTTTATAACTTTTAGATACATACTTTAATTTTCGGTTTATGAAAGTTTTCTAATTTTAGTTTCTCGATATTTGATTTTTCGGTTTTTTAATTTTTTGATTTTTTAATTTTACGATTTAGCAATCTTGATCTTTAACTTTTCAATTTCTGAACTTAGATCTTGATTAAATTTGAACTGATTGTTCAATGTTTAGAAATTCCAGTTTTTCGTTTTTTCAATTTTGGGATGTTGAGTTTCTCAACTGTAATTTTTCGTTTTTCCAATTTTTCGAATTTTCGATTTTATAATTTTCCTGCATTTACTTAGATGTTTCAATTCTTCAAATTTTAATTTTTAAATTTTTCAAATTTTTCCACTATTTCATTTTCCATTTTTAGTTTGCAATTTTTAGATACATACTTTAATTTTCAGTTTACGAAATTTTTCGATTTTTAGTTTCTCGTTCTGATGTTGCAAATTTTCGTCTTTACAATATTCAGATATTTTATTTTTCGATTTTCCGTGTTTTTACTTTACAATTTTATAATCTTTAGATTCACACTTCTTCGTTTTTTCAATTTGGGTACTTTTAGTTTCTCAATTGTAATTTTTCGATTTTTGATTCATTTTGCGAAAATCTGGATACCTAGGTAAAAACTCAAGGCGGAATCATAAACCATAAATACAAGATGCAATTTTGAAGTGTTGGTTTGAACGATATTCGTAACATATATCTAAAATTTGAAACCTATCTGTTCGGTCATTTCGGGATTACATAAAAATCGACACAGACGACAAACAGACGGAAACGGGAGATCTATTTTTTTACTATAACACTTAAAAAAACCTGTGTATTTACACCCAATTTTCTTCCTTACAAGCAATACAAGTTTTACAATTTTACAAAAACGTGCTGTTTACAACATCTTGCCAAAATTAAACAAAAATCTACTATATCTATTCGACACCACACTCAATTTTAAAGCATCCCTGAGACGGTGTTCTACCTGCTACTGGTATTAATATTTAGAGTCTGTTTATACGTTTATTGCCATCTTTAACTTCACAAGGCAATAAAATTTTACTGACTACAAAAATAACGCTCCCAATGTACTTCTGAATATTTATTTTATTCGGTAATTCTATTCTGCGAATGTTACATCGTTTACGACTGCGACAAACTAAAACACAAAGTCAACTCCGAATCAAAGCATTTCTGAATATGTCATTAACACCCCAAACAAAAAAATTATCGTACGAATTTTTTTATCATTTGAAAAATATCACCAAACAAAGAAAATTCCAACACAAAAATATAGTTTCCGAATATTTATAAACCAAGTTTCTCAGGATTGTTTCCAACCACCTTAACTTTGTAGGTCACAACCTCAAGGTATCAACGGACTTTTTAATAATACAGCAGATAAGATAGAACATGATCCTTTAAGAATAATAAATAACACTTCTGAGAAAAAGTGACATTAAATTTTTACGAGATTTGATCATGATTCAGCAACAGGAAAATAAAAGCGATAATTTAAACTATATTCCATCCTATATACACCACAGAAAAAATGTCAAAAATGTGGCGTAACATTCTTAATTAATCCTTCAGTACTGTATCTGAAATTCTGGAAGCGATTTCATTTAACTCGTCTTCAAATCCCCGACTCAAAAACCAATTAAAACGATAATAAAGAGATTAGACTTTATTACTGTTCTTTGTGTACGTCGTAGGACAATCTAAATACCGTTAAACTGCTTCATCCACTCCTGATATTGTTATTATTTACAGACATTCACGGAATGAGTGAATCAGAGACGATCTTGTAATCCAACTCCAATAAATAACGTTTATCAAAACCGATTGTTCAAGTTTTAGAAACTCTTATTCACGGTTTCTATAGTTCGTTACTCATTTCGAAATCAATAATCAAACGCCAGTTCCGTAACATTAAAAAGCATAATGGTAAACCGCGGTGCGTCATTCACTTGAAATTTCTTCTCTCCTTTGAAGGTTGAATGGGATATCCCACTTCTGACGTGTAAAGATAAGATTTTCCGAAAACGCCAGCCAGTTTTGACCGCGACCGGTCGTGATAACATTCACCGAAAGGAAAACCTAAATACCGTTAAACCTTGATTTGATAATGATAATAACTGCATGCATAAATTGGTGGCTGATAAAAACGAACAAAATTCGTTGATAATAGACACAAAGTAACATTTTGATTATTTTCCGGAGGTCGTGCGAAACCACCATTAGCATTTTATTCTATTAAGTAATGGCCAATTAAAATTTAATAACGCTTAACGTGGGAACTATTTTTCCGTTTCGTGCGTTTTCTGGGGTGCCACACAAAGAATCAAGCTGGTCATGACCCTGTGGGTGTAACCCCCTTAACAATTACGCCACAAACAGCATCACCAGCCTCCATTGTTTACCCCGAAAAATTGATTCCAAGTCGGATTTGTGTATACAGGGTGTCATTCAACTTGTGGGGCCGAAACCCAAAGGATGCTCCAACATTAGCAACGATTAACTCTAATTGGTCGCAATTTTACAATAAAGTAAGCTCTGCCAGCAGAGACAAAGACCGGTCGGAACCAGCAAATTTTCGCGAGAAAAACGCCGAGATGAAAGAAACCGACGTTGTTTTGACACGGTGGAGGGGCTCGGGTGTTTTTTTTTTCGAATTGGACACAAAGCGGTTACCTTTTGTTGTGATCCAAAGGGGTAACTGCACTCACTTAAAAAGAAGTTACTTTGGGGTCCTAAGCACTACACTAAATCACTGTTTTCACTGAGTTTCATCGATTGGTTTGTTGTTTTGTTCACTTGCTTCGAGACAGCACTCGCTCCTTCGGCAGCCTCCCACGGACTCGCTCGCGAGCTTTTTATCATATTTACGGCGTCGATTAGGTTGGTAGGACGCATGCGTGAAAATCCCCAGAGATGTCAACCGAAAACGAGACGGGAAAATTATGGTAATGGGGAAAAACGGATTTTGGACCTTTGTTTGTGTCTGAGAGTGGTAGTCACAGCTGGTCTGGTCAACGGCATTACCGTTAAGTTAATAATTTAATACTGTTTGGTTATTCTGTCGAGCACATTGTTAGATTGGTAATGTGAATATCCCTAGATCTGTCTCGGGTCGGATTCAAGTACCGTAAAACGGGGTTACTGATAAGGTCATTGTTTACATTACAATAATTTCGTTTTTTTCTCGACACTCAGTCAACCAATTCAGTTCAATGAAGACGGAATGATTAACATTCAAAACTATTACACTCAAATTAAAAAAAAAACTTGTTAGATAGGTGGACCTCGCAATATTTCCGGTGGAATAAACCCGGAGGTCTTGAGCTTCAAGAACAGTGAATTGTGTGTTGCCTATCCCACTATTTAAGTAAAACTTAAAATGTAATTTAAGGCTGGCGTCTGATCTCGTTTCGTCCTATCTTAAAGACATGGAGAAAATTATAGCGGTTTCAGGAGTTGCTTTTAAAAATATGAGATATATCGCTTTCAAAAATTATATATTTTTAATTGTCAAAAAATAAATTCCTGTAAAACTTCACTTTTTGAACTATTTGATAATTCTTTGATATGTTGTTATCGAATGTTTGGTGGCATCAAAGAAATAAAATTAAGAAGAATTAAGGAAATAAACTTTGACTATTTTTTAATACTGTAACGATTGGGAAGATGTCTCATTATTTGAACAAATACAAACTTTATATAATTTTTTGTTCAAATTGTCAACACCCTTTAGTTTTTTCGTTTGTTCACTGGATCAGGTTGATCTGTTAATAAAAAATACTACTTTTTAGGGAATTTTAGTCCTTTTCCACTGTATAAGGAATTCACGTTCGGTAGATGTAACTAGATTTGGTAACTTTTTTTTTTAAGCTGTGTAACTGCGGACATAATTGTTCTAGTGTATAATGTATTACTGGAATGTCAGAAAGTAGGTATCAAAAATGTGACATGTAAGTAAGTAAAGGTCAAATATCGAAAACGTGATGGTTTTGTGGTAATCTGATGAATCTATTTTTGAACCAAGGAGAAAATCGCATCCCTCTAAAGGCCCAAAGAGCAACCCCCATGTAAAATTTTGAATCTTTTCCCTTCACTAGTTTTTTTAGGAGGACAAGCTTTGATGTCATCATCATGGATCCACAATTTCACCATGGATCCGTTCTGGTATATCCATGTCTCATCCAAGAAAATGAAAAGTAAATCTTTACCACAATCACGCAATTGGAGATACGTACCGCCTTAGAAATTTGATTCTGGCAGCTATAACGTGTTTAAAATTTGAAAAACTTTGCCTTCGGAAACCTAAATTTATACGTGTATTACGTACAATTGTTTTCAAAGCCGAGTGTTTTACCTCTTACAAAACAATAACGATTATATAAAACTTAAAAACCAATTGTAGAACGGAACCAACAAAGCATGTAGGTATATAAATCTGCGCAGTCGTCTTTCTGATTCTGATTATAATATTAACGGCACAAGCGCCGCTGTATCTGTATTATTTTAAAATTCGAAAAACACTCGACAACACTAGCGAACTTTACGGAGAATATTTCTGCCACCAGTTTAACTGTTTCCGTTTTACCCAATTTTTTGAAAACCACGAAATATTTCTTGTTTCTTTTCCTTTAAAATGAGCTTTCTCGTGATTACTTTTATGGAAATTGTTTCCATGCTGTATTTGAGGATTTTCTTGAAACGAAGCGTGTTGAAATTAGAAAAACTTCGGTTTTTTTTCACACAATTCAGATTTGACATTTGAATTAGAAAATTAGACAGTTGATGCCAATCTTAAATTTCTAGTGATCTTAAGATTGCAACTTAACCACAGAAAAGTTTCTGACAGTTACTTCTACCGAACGTGAATGCTTATTATTCTATATACCGAGTGTTTATGGGATTATGGATACCCACAAAGAGGAGGCGGAAAAGTCTAATACCTCTCGGTGCTGAGTACCGACAATAATATTGCATAGCAAGCAATCTTTACCTGCGTACAGTGTGTCAGATGAAGACAGAAATAGCAACATATCGGATGTCACAATTGCTACAGTTTTTCAACATCTTGCCAAAAAATAATTCTCTTGTGGGGATGTCGTGTTGAAATTCAAATAGGACGTCGTAATCCGCTTCTGGTTTTAATAATGAAAATGTCAAACAAAAGAATTTGTAGTCATAACTGCTGTAAAACTACTAAAGATTCTTATTAATTACCAGATTTTTTCTCTTTCTTTTTTTAACAGCCTAGGTTCTATTAGTTACCATTCCAACTCTACAGAATTATTAATAAAATATAATTATCCCCGCCCACCCACCCCTTCTCCATTTCAGTGATTCATTTTATATGGGGGGGAGACAAAACGGGAACAAAAAAAACCACTATAGAAAACATCAAAAATTCCACAAGAAGCTAGAAAAACAGACCAAAAAAAGGCTTCAAAAAAGTTCACAAAAAGGCAACAAAATCTACAAAAAAAAAACTGCAAAAGAAGGTGACTACAAAAATAGAAGAAAAAAACGAAAACAAAAGACAAAAAAATGAGGAAAAGCACTAAAAAGGTGACTAAAAATGGTGCCAAAAATAAGGCTAAAAGAAGGAAGTTAAAAAAAACGCAGAAAAAGGAACAAAAAACGCTACAAAAAAACGACAAAAAGTTCACAAAAAAGGCTCCGAAAACTGAGGACGAATAAAATTCAATGATGAAGGTGGTTACAAAAATTGACAAAAAAATTACAAGATAAAAGCCAAAAACGGGACAAAAAAATTAACAAAAAAATGTGTGTCAAAAAAGATCACAAAAAATGCAAGTAAAACAAACAATTAAAAAAGAAGAATAAGTCCATAAAAAATAGAAAAACAATAAAGGTGACAAAAAAGATCACAAAAACAGAGGACAAAAACAAATTAGAAAAAAGGCGACTGCAAAAAGAAAAAAACGCTACAAAAAAGCGACAAAAAGTCCATAACAAAAGATACAAAAACAGAGGCTGAACAAAATTCAACAATGAAGATGTCTATAAAAAGTTAGGGAAAAAACGATAAAAAGAGGTTAGAAAAAATGCGACTAACCCAAGGGAACAAAAAAATAATGAAACACAAAAACGGCCACGAAAAAAGAAGAAAAAAGACACAAACAAGGCTACAAAAATGCGACAACAGGGAACAAAAAAAAATGAGGAAAAGGTCACTGCAAAAAAATATTAAAAAGGTACCCAAAAATGCGACTAAACGAAGAGTCAAAAAAGAGAACAAAAAAAGGTTCAAAAATTTCGCAAAAAATCCATAAAAAAAGGCTACAAAACACACATGAGGAACAAAACTCAGCAACGAAGGCTATAAAAAAGAATTAAAAAAAAATGAGAAAATGCGACTAAAGGAAGGGAGGCAAAAAAGGCTTCAAAAAAGTTCACAAAAAAGGCAACAAAATCTACAAAAAAAAAACTGCAAAAGAAGGTGACTACAAAAATGACGAAGAAACAAAAGGAAATAGAATACAAAAACGAAAACAAAAGACAAAAAAATGAGGAAAAGCACTAAAAAGGTGACTAAAAATGGTGCCAAAAATAAGGCTAAAAGAAGGAAGTTAAAAAAAATAAGAAAAAGGAACAAAAAACGCTATAAAAAAACAAAAAGTTCACAAAAAAGACTCCGAAAACTGAGGACAAATAAAATTCAATGATGAAGGTGGTTACAAAAATTGACAAAAAAATGACAAGAAAAAGGCCAAAAACGCGACAAAAAAATTAACAAAAAAATGTGTGTTAAAAAAGATTACAAAAAATGCAAGGTAAACAAACAATTCAAAAAGTCCATAAAAAATCGAAAAAAGTGACCAAAAAAGGAACTAAAAATGGGGTCAATAAAGGTGACAAAAAAGATCACAAAAACAGAGGACAAAAACAAATTAGAAAAAAAGGCGCCTACAAAAAGAAAAAAACGCTACAAAAAAGCGACAAAAAGTCCATAACAAAAGATACAAAAACAGAGACTGAACAAAATTCAACAATGAAGATGTCTATAAAAAGTTAGGGAAAAAACGATAAAAAGAAGTCAGAAAAAATGCGACTAACCCAAGAGAACAAAAAAATAATGAAACACAAAAACGCCCACGAAAAAAGAAGAAAAAAGACACAAACAAGGCTACAAAAATGCGACAACAGGGAACAAAAAAAAATGAGGAAAAGGTCACTACAAAAAACTATTAAAAAGGTAGCCAAAAATGCGACTAAACTAAGAGTCAAAAAAGAGAACAAAAAAAGGTTCAAAAATTTCGCAAAAAATCCATAAAAAAAGGCTACAAAACACACATGACGAACAAAACTCAGCAACGAAGGCTATAAAAAAGAATTTAAAAAAAAATGAGGAAATGCGACTAAAAGAAGGGAGGCAAAAAAGGCTTCAAAAAAGTTCACAAAAAAGGCAACAATAAAATCTACAAAAATAAACTGCAAAAGAAGGTGACTACAAAAATGACGAAGAAACAAAAGGAAATAGAATACAAAAAAACGAAAACAAAAGACAAAAAAAAAGAGCAAAAGCACTAAAAAGGTGACTAAAAATGGTGCGAGAAATAAGGCCGAAAGAAGGAAGTTAAAAAAATGCAGAAAAAGGAACAAAAAAACAACAAAAATTTCACAAAAAAGACTCCGAAAATTTAGGACGAATAAAATTCAATTATGAAGGTGGTTACAAAAATTGACAAAAAAATGACAAGAAAAGGTCCAAAAACGCGCCAAAAAAGATCACAAAAAATGCAAGAAAAACAAACAATTAAAAAAGGAGAATAAGTCCATAAAAAATCGAAAAAAGTGACCAAAAAGGAAACCAAAAGTGCGACAAAAAATGCGAGCAAAAAAGGTGACAAAAAAGATCACAAAAACAGAGGACAAAAACAAATTAGAAAAAAAGGCGACTACAAAAAGAAAAAACACTACAAAAAAAGCTACAAAAAGTCCATAACAAAAGGTACAAAAACAGAGACTGAACAAAATTCAACAATGAACGCATCTATTAAAAGTGACAAAAAAGGACAATAAAAAAGGACAAAAAAGCAACACAAAACGTAAACAAAAAAGGCGACTGCCAAAAAATGTTTAAAAAACGACAAAAAGATGTCAAAAAAATGCAACCAACCCAAGGGAATAAAGGAAAACTACCACAAAAATAATGAAATAAAAAAAAACTAGGAACAAAGACAAACAATGCACCAAAAAAATATGTACACAGAGGACAAAAAAAAAAGGAAAAAGGCGCGATTACAAAAAGAACAAAAAGGCCATAAAAAGTGACAATAAAACAACAAAAAAGTCACCAAAAAGAAAGTAAAGTATAGAAGTATGATATTTTTGGAAATTTAAATTTACTATGGAATACCATATACGACATTCCTAAAATACATTATACTGAACAAAAATAAAATGAGAACAGTGCGGGTGGGCGGGGCTAGTACTTGCTAAGATAACACTGATATTGACAAATGAGGGATATTCTAAAAAAATGGTGGGCGGATGGGTGGGGCTAGTACATTCTAAGATAATACTGATTTTGGCTAATGACATACCATTTAAGAAAATAGAGGGCGGGTGGGCGGGGCTAGTACTTTCTAAGGTAAAGCTGATTTTGGCAAATGATTTTACCTTCTAAGGAAATAGAGGGCGGGCGGACGAGGCTAGTATTTGCTAAGATAACACTGATATTGACAAATGATAAATATTCTAAGAAAATAGAGGGCGGGTGGGCGGGGCTAGTACTTTCTAAAATAAACCTGATTTTAGCAAATGACATATCATTTAATAAAACAAATAATAATAATATTAATAATAATAATGGTTTATTGCCCACAACAGACTTACATCCAGTTACAGAGCAAATTACAGTTAAGTATAAATGAATTAATATATTAATATACTTAGTTAGCGCAAACTTAAATCTATGTATTACTAAGAAGGTCTAAACTGAACTAAATTAAATAAAAAAAAAACTAAATAATTAGTATAACTGTTAGAAAACGAACTATGAGAAAATATCATGCGCATTTTGCAGTATTGGCTTAAGCGGCGACACAGAAATATCAAGTTCTTCGCCAAGGCTGTTACCAATCTGTGACAATTTATATATTGCAGCATTAAAAAGAACATTTGAACGAACTCTGGGACAATTAAATGTACAGTGATAATTTAAAAAAATAAAGGGCGGGTGGGCGGGGCTAGTACTTGCTAAGATAAGATCAAAACTACTGAAGATTTTTGCAATTTTCTAAATCAATACATATTTAATAATTAATACTAGTAGTACATGTATTAAATTCCTTATTTTCTTTCTTTTTTTAACAACCTAGAACCTAAGTGGTATTACTTGCCATTTCCACTCTACAGAATTATTAATATAAAATAATTAACCCCGCCCACCCACCCGTTCTCTATTTCAGTGTTTCATTTTATTTGGTCTGAATGAAAAGTGGATCTTATACTGAACAGAAATAAAATCGTTTGAATGGGAACAGTGCTAGTAGGCGGAACTAGTACTTGCTAAGATAACACTGATATTGACAAATGATGGATCTTCTAAGAAAATAGAGGGTCAATTAGTACAATTTTACAACATCTTGCCAAAAAAATTCTATTGTAGAGATGCCGTGTTGAAATTCACATTGACTTAGTAATCAGGTATCAATAATGAAAATGTTGACTAATAAAGTATATAGTCTTGTAATTTTCTAAATCAATATAAAGCCATATAATTTAGGTCCTTGACCAAATCATTTCAGTTATTGCAATAAATTAATGCTTGTTATTATTTTTATCCAATAGTTTTAAATATTTTAAACCGATTTAGATTTGTGCGCAATAATAAACTTGACAATTTTTGATTAAAAAATTTATGATTATTCAGTATAAAAATGAGATATTTTTGTATTATATTCCAAAGAGTCATTCCAAACTATGAAAAAGATTTAAAAAAGTGCCAAAATGTATAATTTTTACCTTATTACCAATCACTTAAATTACCTTAGATTTACAAATAACAGACATTTTATAGTTTCTTTTCATATTCACTATCTATATCTACTTTTTCATAAACTTAAAAACTGCAAATTTTATATAAAAAATAATAATTAACAGAAATGAAAAAAAAAGAGACTTTTACCACCCATATTTTCAAAAAGCCACCACCAGAGGACAGCGCCTCTCGTACTACTAGAGTAGATTTCCCCAAAGTGCTAAAATAAAATTTGTGCGCAGACGCTCCCCTTAACCTGAGAACCACTGGTCTATGGGTCTATGGCATGATGTCTATGGTCTGTCAGTAGTGTTGGTACTGTTGGTGTCATCCAAAACAATAAACCGATTGAGGTTATGTTTCAAACACCGAAACCTGAGGTAAAAAAACAAATATTTTTCACTATTCATATACAATTTTAATCCAGATTAGGTCAACCAAGATGTCGATTCTGCAATATTCGAAGACCTGTATTCAACAAACTCCCCTTGACAAACACAGTTGTGAACTATGTCCGTACATCACAACTTCAACCTTTTTTATGGAAAACCACAGGAAACATCACACCTCACCACCAACCCCTTTCGACTGCGAACAAACAAACCTCGAAATTTACTACTGCGAGGACTGCAATTTCAAAACCGAACTCACCCTTTTTTTCAAACAACACCTCCGAGAATGTCACAGCGCGGAAAAAAAATCGCAAGAAAATCCAGCGAATGGGGACTACACCATCAAAAAATACATTTGTGATAAGTGCACCTTCGAAACACACTTGTGGCTCAAATGCCTTCAACACACCTGTTGGACAACTAGTTCCAAATGGTATAAATGTGACCAGTGTGACTCACAATATAAGTACAAAAAATCCTTAAGAACACACAAAATGTTGAAACACTTGAGCGAGAATGAGGTTATCTGGTACTTTTGTGCCCAATGTATGTACAAAACCAAGCGCAAATCCTGTTTAAAACGACACATATATTGTCACCACGTGGACGAAACCAAGATTAAATGGCACAAGTGTGAACAGTGTCCATTCAAAACGAAACTAAAATGCAATTTAAACCAACACGTGTATCGCGCGCATTTAGACTTACAACTGATTAAATGGCACCAGTGCCCAACGTGCTCGTACAGAGCTAAAAGATCGTCAAAAATAAAAGACCACATAAACGTGAACCATTTGGATGAGCCTGATATTAAATGGTACGAATGCCAAACTTGTCCATACAAAACCAAAAGTAGGAAAAATTTACGCAGACACAGGATTAGTCAACATTTTCCAGAACACCAGATTAAGTGGTTTCGCTGCGAGCAGTGTTCCTACAAGACTAAACAGTGTAGCAGTTTGAAAAGGCACGTCACTGCATACCATGTGGATGAAGGAGATATTAAATGGTACAAATGCGACCAGTGTCCATTCAAAACTAAACAGAATGCCAATTTAAAGAGACACGTGAATAATATACATATGGATAAACAGGAGATTAAATGGTTTGAATGCAAACAGTGCCCATTCAAGTGTAAACAAACCTCGAATTTGAAGACTCACATCAGCAGACATCACTTGGACGAAAAAGATATGAAGTGGTTTGAGTGCCATAGTTGTGAGTACAAAGCTAAACAAAAAACTGTTTTAACTAAACATATAAATGTGTGGCATTCAAGCGAGGGGGCTAAATGGTTTAAGTGCGAAAAGTGCCCTTTCAAGTGTAAGGTGAAGGAGAATTTGGGAAAGCATGAAAGACAAAGACATTTGGAGTCATTTTTTGTTTAAAATTTAATAGTCGACAATGTTATTTTCAGGTTTCTAGAAATAAATTAGATTTTTCAAAGGAGTACATTTTCATTTATAACCAGATTTTGGCAACACTGCTAAGAGTCGACTTTGACAGTTAGAAATTTCTGACATTTATTTAAATATAGAACCTGTGAAGGAGAATTTGGGGAAACATGAAAGACAAAGACATCTGGAGTAATTTTTTGTTTAAAATTAATAGTCGACAATGTCATTTTCAGATTTTTAGAAATAAATTAGATTTTTCAAAGGAGTGCATTTTCATTTATAACCAGATTTTGGCAACAGTGCTAAGAGTCGACTTTGACAGTTAGAAATTTCTCACCTTTATTTAAATATAGAACCTGTGAAGAAGAATTTAGGGAAACATGAAAGACAAAGACATCTGGAGTAATTTTTTGTTTAAAATTAATAGTCTACAATGCTATTTTCAGGTTTTTAGAAATAAATTACATTTTTTAAAGGAGTGCATTTTCATGTATAACCAGATTTTGGCAACACTGATAAGAGTCGACTTTGACAATTAGAAATTTCTTACATATATTTAAATATAGAACCTGTGAAAGAGAATTTGGGGAAACATGAAAGACAAAGACATTTGGAGTCATTTTTTGTTTAAAATTAATAGTCTACAATGTTGTTTTCATGTTTTTAGAAATAAATTAGACTTTTCAAAGGAGTGCATTTTCATTTATAACCAGATTTTGGCAACAGTGCTAAGAGTCGACTTTGACAGTTAGAAATTTCTCACATTTATTTAAATATAGAACCTGTGAAGAAGAATTTAGGGAAACATGAAAGACAAAAACATTTGGAGTAATTTTTTGTTTAAAATTAATAGTCTACAATGCTATTTTCAGGTTTTTAGAAATAAATTACATTTTTTAAAGGAGTGCATTTTCATGTATAACCAGATTTTGGCAACACTGATAAGAGTCGACTTTGACAGAAATTTCTTACATTTATTTAAATATGGAACCTGTGAAGGAGAATTTGGGGAAACATTAAAGACAAAGACATTTGGAGTAATTTTTTGTTTAAAATGAATAGTCTACAATGTTATTTTCAGGTTTTTAGAAATAAATTAGATTTTTCAAAGGAGTGCATTTTCATTTATAACCAGATTTTAGCAACACTGCTAATAGTCGACTTTGACAGTTAGAAATTTCTGACATATATTTAAATATAGAATCTGTTAAGGAGAATTTGGGGAAACATGAAAGACAAAGACATTTGGAGTCATTTTTTGTTTAAAATTAATAGTCGACAATGTTATTTTCATGTTTTTAGAAATAAATTAGACTTTCAAAGGAGTGCATTTTCATTTATAACCAGATTTTGGCAACACTGCTAAGAGTCGACTTTGACAGTTAGAAATTTCTTATATTTATTTAAATATAGAACCTGTGAAGGACAATTTTGGGAAACATTAAAGATAAAGACATTTGGAGTAATTTTTGTTTAAAATTAATAGTCTACAATGTTGTTTTCATGTTTTTAGAAATAAATTAGACTTTTCAAAGGAGTGCATTTTCATTTATAACCAGATTTTGGCAACAGTGCTAAGAGTCGACTTTGACAGTTAGAAATTTCTTACATTTATTTAAATATAGAACCTGTGAAGGATAATTTGGGGAAACATGAAAGACAAAGACATTTGGAGTAATTTTTTGTTTAAAATTAATAGTCTCCAATGTTATTTTCATCTTTTTAGAAATAAATTAGACTTTTCAAAGGAGTGCATTTTCATTTATAACCAGATTTTGGCAACACTGATAAGAGTCGAATTTGGCAGTTAGAAATTTCTCACATTTATTTAAATATAGAATCTGTGAAGGAGAATTTGGAGAAACATGAAAGACAAAGACATTTGGAGAAATTTTTTGTTTAAAATTAATAGTCGACAATGTTATTTTCAGGTTTTTAGAAATAAATTAGACTTTTCAAAGGAGTGCATTTTCATTTATAACCAGATTTTGGCAACACTGCTAAGAGTCGACTTTGACAGTTAGAAATTTCTTACATTTATTTAAATATAGAACCTGTGAAGGAGAATTTGGGGAAACATGACAGACAAAGACATTTGGAGTAATTTTGTGTTTAAAATGAATAGTCTACAATGTTATTTTCATGTTTTTAGAAATAAATTAGACTTTTCAAAGGAGTGCATTTTCATTTATAACCAGATTTTGGCAACAGTGCGAAGAGTCGACTTTGACAGTTAGAAATTTCTGACATTTATTTAAATATAGAACCTGTGAAGGAGAATTTGGGGCAACATGAAAGACAAAAACATTTGGAGTAATTTTTTGTTTAAAATGAATAGTCTACAACGTTATTTTCAGGTTTTTAGAAATAAATTAGACTTTCTAACGAGTGCATTTTCATTTATAACCAGATTTTGGCAACACTGCTAAGAGTCGACTTTGACAGTTAGAAATTTCTTACATTTATTTAAATATAGAACCTGTGTAGAACCGTAAATCTGTCGAATAAACGGCGAAATAACGTAATAAATACCGTAGACTGTTAACTAATTAACGTGGAAGACTAACACGGTGATGTACTTCAAACTTTATCTTTGAGGTTATGTTTTGAAGAATCTCCCATTCGGATTTTGGTAAGTACGAAAACTCCATTATTTTTAGCACAATAACCAAATTTCTAACCCTTTGCAGCAACCAAAATGTCCACTCTCGAATATTCGAAAAAATTCGCCCGCGTGAAGGCACCAGCCAGAAATATCCACAATTGCAATGCTTGTCCGTACTTCACAACCTCGCTCTTTCTGATGGTGAACCACGTCAGACGTCACCACTCACCCCTAAACACCTTTAACTGTGAAAACGCCAGTGTTGAAGTTTATTATTGCAAGGACTGCAATTTCAAGACAGACCTAACCCTACTTTTCAAAAAACACATAGCAGAACACCATACCATTGAAAAACAGAACAAACCAACTACATCAAACGCGGACTACACCATCAAGAACTTCGTTTGTTTGAAGTGCAACTTTGAAACATACTTTGTGATTAAGTGGCTTCAACACACTAAATCATGTTTGCGGGTTAAACAAGACCCCCAACTTGTACACCATGATAACCCCACATGGTACAAGTGTGACCAGTGTGACTACAAGTGCAAGCGCAAATATTCCCTAAAAATACACAAAACAGGAAAGCATTTTAAAGACCATGAAGTACCATGGTACCAATGCCAACTATGTACGTACAAATCCAAGCACAAATCCAGCGTGAAAAGACACATTTATTTGCACCACGTGGATGACAGCAATATCACGTGGTACAAATGTAACACCTGTCCATACAAAACTAAACAAAACTCTAATTTAAAGAAGCACATAAATGCGCGACATTCAGACGGGCATGATATTAAATGGTTTGAGTGTACTGAGTGTCCATATAAAGCTAAACAAAATTGTTATTTGAAGAAGCATATGATCGCACGACATTTGGGCGAAGCGGATATTAAGTGGTTTGAGTGCAAGGACTGTTCATACAAAGCAAAAAAGCCGGCGCATTTAAAGCGGCATGTGATTTCGCGGCATCTGGGTGAAGAAGATATACAGTGGTATGCGTGCCAGATGTGTGTGTATAAAGCTAAGCACATTGCGCATTTAAAAAGACACATAAGTTTGCATCATTTGGATGAGTGTGGGATTAATGGGCTGGTTTAATGATGCAAACATTAATTAAAATGAGTGTGAACGTATGTACAGGCTGTTTCACGAATATTGTGTAATATTGTTGGCTGCGCGCGCATCTACAATCAGCTGTTGTTTCCAATCTTTGCACCATGCAAATTTATCAGCATTTTCTAAATAGCAATAGAAATTTAATGAACTGTATGTCCGTTTACCGAACAGACGGAGTGGCCACGCACAGTGAAAATATTTTTGTCTTTTTATAAATACATCTTATATTCTTTATTTTTGAAATAACACACGATGACGTTTCTGGTTAAATCTTATATTATCCAATGAGGAAACAGAATTTTCAAAATTTTTGATAGTGCTTGCGCAACTAACAATAAATGGAAGCTATTGATTAAGGAATAAATTTAGCAATAAAAAATGTACAAAATAAAATCTATTCGTGAAGTCATAAAACAGATCGTAGGACTTTTGGTTTTATTTTTTTACAAATCCCTCCTTTTTAATCCTTTTTATAAAAAAAATCATTCAATAACATTGGCAACCACGCATGTGAAGCGAGAATTAAATTGAATCGCATTCGACACCACAGTCCCCCTCTAAGAAGCGTAATTATTATAAGACTAGTTAATTAATGATTTTCTAATATGAAATGTGTAAAACTGAGTGGTCCATCAATACGTATAATTTTTGTTGTATAAAATATAAATTCAATATAACAAGTTATTTTTTTAATGATCTTTAAAAGTTCTGGATGTTTTTACTTAAGCTAATCGATATTTAAAACAGTTTATTTATTATGGTTATATTAATCTTAAAGGTGGATCTAGTTTGATGGAAAGGACCTTGAAAATTATCATCAGTTAAATTAATAGAATTTATTAATTATTAAGTTATTTTTGAAATAACATTGTCGTTTCTGGTTAAATCTTATTCCCTCTAAATAATTCTGGTGTCTTGTAAAAACAGACTCAGCTAGGGCCAATGAGGAGGCAGAATTGTCAAATTTTCTGATAAAGTGCTTGCCCAACTGACAATAAATGGAAGCTGTTAATTAATGAATAGATTTAGCAATTAAGAATGTACAAAATAAAATCTATTCCCCAAGTTATAAAATAGATCGTAGGACTTTTGGTTTCATTTTGTTTACAAATCCTTCCTTTTTAATCCTTTTCGTAAAAAATCATTCAATAACATCGGCAACCACGCATGTAATGCGAAAATTAAATTGTTTAAACAAATTTAAACAAATGAATCGCATTCGATACCACAGTCCCCCTCTAACAAGCGTAATTATTATAAGACTTGTAATTAATGATTTTCTTATACGAAATGTGCAAAACTGAATGGTCTATCTATACGTATAATTTTTGTTTTATTGTTTTTAAATTCAATATAACAAGTTTCAATGATCCTTAAAAGTTCAGGATGTTTTTACTTAAGCTAATCGATATTTAAAACAGTTTATTTATGACGGTTATATTAATCTTAAATGTTGATCTAGTTTGAAGGAAAGGACCTTGAAAATTATCATAAGTTGAATTAATATAATCGTGGATTCGAACTGGGATTTCATGAGTATTTCGAAATATATACATAGATGGAAATTTAAAACAAATTTAAATAATAAAATTAAATGAGAAAATATGTTGTAAATAATATGGAACTTCGGTACAACATTTTACTTGTAACTGAAAGTTTAATAATTATTTTGTCAATATTTTTACAACGCGTATTCAAGAACGACCGACCGATTTCATATTGCGATGTTCTTTCGGCAAATAGTATTAAAAATTACGTTTTTTCACTAGCAGCCTGGACGCATGCAAATGTCGACTCATTTAGTGGTAGCAAATTCAACTTTTGCTACCACGGGTTCAAAAAGAAAAATTGAGGTTATGTATGCAGTGTTTGATTTGATTATTTCTTAAAAAATGAACAAATGTGTGCTACAAACATTACTTGAGTATACGCATGGTAGTTGGTAGACGGTAGAAGATAAAATGATTAACTCGGCGACAAGTATAAACGGTTTTCTTTGTGTTGAAGATTTAGATCAAGTTTGATTAGAAATCAAAACAAAATCATGTTGCGTCAAAAAATTGAACGTTTATTTTTCAGTTTATTGTCTTATGGTTTCTACTAGTGAAAAAAATAGTATATTAACCACGGTTGCAAAGCCACTTCTAGACCTCGCACTTAGAGCCCTCGACGCTGCGCGTCTCGGGTTCTAATTTGCGCTCGGTCTAGAATGCTTGGCTCTGCAACCTTGGCTAATAATATACTATATTGTGTTCTTTAATTTCAATAAAAAAAAATCATAAAATATAGGCAACCATATGCACGTTGGCGCTTTTGGGTAGTGGCAGTGAGTATAGGCCACAGCATAGATATCAATCAGTAGAGACGGCTCGCCGTTTTTCGTGACCCGTTTTCGTGGGTGGTCGTTCGCTTTATGACCGAATGAGGGCGCCCAACTGACGTCTAAAATATTTGAAATTTGGCAGTTTTGTTACAATATTTTTGCCGGTTTTGCTTGTTTAAGACTGCTTTTCCAGTAGAATTGTACAAATAGTATAAAAATGTAATTTTCACAATAAAAGGTAAAATCTTTGTCCGATGAATTTTCATACAGGATCCCTGTTGTGCGCCTTATTCTCTCCCTCGTGTTTGGAATTCTTGGAAAAGATAGTAAACATAACACACTTTTTGTTTAAAAAGTCGTCGCAAACGAACAACAACGGTGGTTATGAAATAAATATAAAAAATTTATTATATATGATTCCGTTGTTGTGGTAAAATTAAATATAAAAATAATAAGAAACAAACTACACGTAACAAAAAATTATATAAGCAGACCTTCACTCAATAAACAATTTTTTTATTCATCATGTATATATATATATTTTTTTTTTTACCTACACAATCTTGAGTTTTATTTTGAGACGTTGCTTAACCCATAAGCAGTCGCACGTGGGTAAAAATGACCCAAGCCGTACATTTTGTCAAATATCTTTTTTCGCTTAATTCCTATGGACTTCCGGTTTCATGATTTCCTTAATTATTCTTACCTGCGTCGACCCATACCAATTACCTGCACTTTATGCGAGTCGACAAATATGTATTTTTTTTTGTAATGATTTTTTTTAAATAAAAATTTTACTTTATATGATATTACGCTTACGGGTTAAGTTGTTAGGTAAAATGCGTTTTTTTCGTAAAATTTTTGAAATTATTAAACAATTTAACAGGTGCTGTTCTTATTTTTATATTTATTCTTGTTTAAAGTAATTACCATAATTACAATATCATGCCTGTCTGTTTATTTCTCTACTTTTTTTTAGCTTTCTACATATATAAATAAGATGGATACTTTCTTTAATAACTAAAAGAGTCTATTCTCGAAAAATATTTAGTCCTCATAAAATACTCCTTTACCTACGGTCCATTACAAAGTGTACCATTTCCGGATTTGTAAATGCTAGCTTTAAATTTACAAATGCCAAAGGTGAAAAAATTAATAGAAAAAAAATAATTTGACAGCATTAACTTTTTTCCTTTTTGTAATTTAATTTTTATTTTATTTATTTATTTTTTCTTAAATAAACCTCTTTATTTTTAGATGTATTTATTACATTATTTTTACAATGATAATTAAACCTCAAGTATTCAGGGAAAGAATGTGCGAATTGTCAAATTGTATAAGTAATAAAATAAAACTGTAACAAATCATCGTGTTTATAATTTAAATATCGACTTTTTTTTTCTTATTGCGATTCACGATTATACGATTTGAGCAAACTACACAGTTTGCAATATTGCGTACACGAATCAATTTTTGAAATTGTAAATGAAGTGATACTTTTTAAATTGGGTGGCGACATCTAGGAATAGTTTAGGCAACGACCATCCATGACGGCTTAAAATTCGGGTCAGAAAGAACAAAGGCGCCGACACGAGCTGTCCCTACTGATTGATATCTATGCTGTGCCTATACCACAGTAGAGATAACAATCAGTAGAGACAGCTCGTGTCGGCGCCTTTGTTCTTTCTGACCCGAATTTTAAGCCGTCATGGGTGGTCGTTGCCTAAACTATTCCTAGATGTCGCCACCCAATTTAAAAAGTATCACTTCATTTACAATTTCAAAAATTGATTCGTGTACGCAATTTATTGCAAACTGTGTAGTTTTAAGGTGGTCTTCTGCATCGTGGTGACTGATTCTTCTTCATCAAAACGACGACCTACATTTAACTTTAAAATTTCTTCCATATCAGGCTCGCAGTTTTGATTACCTGTGTTCGTTTCATCAAAATAATCTTGTATGATTAATTTTCTAAAAGCCATTTGAAATTGATTAGATGTGGGGTTAATAGAATTTCCATTTTGTTTCCTAATCCATCCAAAACAGTTTTCTAGTGCGTCTGTCTTGGCAAAGGCGTCTTATTAATATATAGTCAAACCCATTTTACCTAACAACTTAACCCGTAAGCGTAATATCATATAAAGTAAAATTTTTATTTAAAAAAAATTATTACAAAAAAAAATGCATATTTGTCGGCTCACATAAAGTGCAGGTAATTGGTATGGGTCGACGCAGGTAAGAATAATTAAGGAATTCATGAAACCGGAAGTCCATAGGGATTAAGCGAAAAAGGATATTTGACAAAAAGTATGGCTTGGGTCATTTTTATCCACGCGCGACTGCTTATGGGTTAAGCAACGTTTCAAAATAAAACTCAAGATTGTGTAGGTCAAAAAATATATATACACATGATGAATAAAAAAATTGTTTATTGAGAGGTCTGCTTATATAATTTTTTGTTACGTGTAGTTTGTTTCTTATTATTTTTATATTTAATTTTACCACAACAACGGAATCATATATAATAAATTTTTATTATTTATTTGATAACCACCGTTGTTGTCCGTTTGCGACGACTTTTTAAACAAAAAGTGTGTTATGTTTACTATCTTTTCCAAGAATTCCAAACACGATGGAGAGAATAAGGCGCACAACAGGGATCCTGTATGAAAATTCATCGGACAAAGATTTTACCTTTTATTGTGAAAAATTGAAAATTACATTTTTACACTATTTGTACAATTCTACCGGAAAAGCAGTCTTAAACAAGCAAAACCGGCAAAAATATTGTAACAAAACTGCCAAATTTCAAATATTTTAGACGTCAGTTGGGCGCCCTCATTCGGTCATAATGCGAACGACCACCCACGAAAACGGGTCACGAAAAACGGCGAGCTGTCTCTACTGATTGTTATCTCTACTGTGCTTAAATAGTCACTGGTAGTGGGTAGTTTTCTACTTGGAATTTTAGTTAGAGGGTTGTTAGAAGATGGCGGCTTGGTAGAAGATGGCGGTTTGGTAGAGAGGTGAAAGCGTCAAATTTGATTCATTGTTTGTAAATTCACAGTTCAGGTTAGGAGTTTAATCGTTAATTAGTTCTAACACAGTTTAACAGACATATTAGATTTATTTAGATAAACACTCACTACGCGATTTCATAAGATTCACTTAGTCAGGATAACACCCTTTGTTTACAAAGTTATGAATAAGTTTCTGGATGCTAATATTTAAGTGTTACATTATAACACTTCTTAATTCTTCACACAAGATTGCTAATAGTTCATTTACGGCAGTTAAATTAACCTAACGTTCCCCCACTGTGGAAAAAGACCTTAGAAAAGTACAGCAGAATTCATAATATAATATCGTGGACTAACGGGGGATTTAAGATTTCACCGAAACGCATTTTCCTCGCAAAGCAGGACGCATTTTGTGTTTATTTATCATGTGTTTTGTTTGGGATAAACAGTCCACGATATAAACCCTCAAAACAAATTGTTTTAAGTAATCAATCACTTGCATCATGGCATAATGTAACAACATATAAATTCCTTGTTTGAATCGTTGATAAAGTGTGGTCAGTATTAATCTCATGTAAATTTGTTAACTTTGCAAATTTTCACCTCATACAATTTTTTCTCTATCTCACAATTTTAACTTAAGTAATTTTCTTTGTTGCATAATTTAAATTGAACGTAAATTTTCATGCTTTGTGGTTTCTAATCTCACGGAATATTTTTATTTGCTAGTCCAACCTTAATCTCAAATAAGAATGATTTCTTGTTTAAAATTTCACAAGATTGTATGGCGAATTTAAAATGTGGTTTATTGCTTTTTTTGAAACTTTGACACTTGTTCAGTTGTAGTTTAATATCAGAGTTATAAGAATTCAACTTATAAATGGAATTGAGGTTAAATAACACAGAAACACGTGGTGGAAGCGGAGTGCGCGGTTCCTAGTTAAGCTGGAGAGAGTTATTGCGTCATCTGCACAAAAGATGCAGGTTAGAATAGAATTCAGTTGACTGCGAGTTTGCGAGCGCAACGGCCTGCTCGTCTAGGCACTCTTGGAGTGCTGGGCGACAGTGCTTGCGATAGATAGAATCACCGTCCTGGGTAGGAGAACAGCCACGACCGGGAGCCCCAAACTCCGCTCGTGCTACAACGCCCCCTATGGGTAATTTTTGTTGTGCTCTGGAATGAAATTGACATAGCTTGAGCGCCACACTCTCATAGCGCTCTGATGTCGCTGCCACTGCATAGTTTTTATTAAAATTTTGTGCTCTTGTCGACTGCCATAATTTTAAACTTGCCGCCACACGTCCGTAATAAATACATTAATTATTAGAAAGTTCATCATTACTTATAATTTTTGTTTTACTGTTTTTAAAATCAACCTAACAAGCCCCACTGTGGAAAAAGACCGTAGAAAAGTGCAGCAGAATTCATAATATAATATCGTGGAGCGACGAGGGAATTAAATTAATTAACAGCGGCGCGAAAATCAATTTTTGACCGACGCTACACGTACTGTAAATTTGCTTTATTGTTTGCAAATTCACCGATCAGGTTAGGATTTTAATCGTTAATTCGTGCTAACACAATTTAACAGACACTTACTAGGAGATTTCATACAATTCACTTAGTCAGGATAACACCCTTTGTCTAATTATGAATAAGTTTCTGGATGCATATACGTAAATGTTACATTACAACACTTCTTAATTATTCACACAAGATTGCTAATAGTTCATTTACGGCATTTAAATTAACAAAATTCATAACATCGTGAACTGGCGGAAGGTTAAAATAATTTCTTCCCCTAGGCAGTTATCATCGTTATCATCATTACATGACCGAGGCATTTCCTCGCAACTAAAGATTACATCACCGAGGCATTTCCTCGCAACGTTAAAAATTACATCATCGAGACGCTTATTCCTCCCAACGCTGACTGGATATTTTTGTGGTTATTTACCATGTGTTTTGTTTGGGGTAAACAGTTCACGACATAAATCCTCAAAACAAATTGTTTTAAGTAACCAATCATTTGGATCGAGGCAGCATTTAACGCAATGTAAAGTCTTTGTTTGAATCGTTGATAAAGTGTGGCATAATTGAACATATTATAAATTCTTGGTTTGAATCGTTGATAAAGTGTGGCAAATATTAATTAATTTCATGTAAATTTGTTAACTTTGCAATTTTCACCTCATACAATTTTTCTCTATTTCACAATTTTTAACTTCAGTAAACGTAAAGTTTCATGCTCTGCTGTTTCTAACTTCACGTAATATTTTATCTGCACAAGTTTATTTCCCACCAGATCTTTTGTTTTTATAAATCTTTGCTAGTTTTTTGTTTTGTAAATATTTTGTTGATGAATGTTTCCATCATATAAATTATCTGATGTCCAATTTTAATCTCACATAAGAATTATTTGTTTAAAATTTCACAAGATTGTATGACGAATTTAGATGTTATTTATTGCTCTTTGAAACTTTGACACTCGTTCAATTGTGGTTTAATATCAGAGTTATAAAAATTGAACATATAAATGGAATTGAGGTTAAATAACACAGAAACACGTAGTGGAAGCGCAGTGCGCGGTTCCTAGTCGAGCTGGCGGAATTTATCGCGCCATCTGCACAAAAAATGCAGGTTAGAATAGAATACAGTCACTCACTCTTGGTGTGCTGGGCGACAGTGCTTGCGATAGATAGAATCACCGTCGTGGGTAGGAAAACAGCCACGATCGGGAGCCCCAGTTATTTTTTGAATGATCTTTAAAAGTTCTGCATGTTTTTACTTAAGTTTATCGGCATTTAAAACAGTTTATTTATGACAATTATATTAAGAACCTTGAAAATTACCATCAGTTAAATTAATATCATTGTGGATTCGAACTGGGAGGTGAATTGTATGTTTATGTTATATTTTTAATCCTTTTCATAAGCATTTCGAAATAAACAGATGGAAATTTAAAACAAATTTCATAAAACTAAATGATAAAATAAGGGTAAAACGGGAAATACTTTTTTCGTTTAGAAAATAACTGTTACAGAGAAAATACATATGTTGCAGATAATATGGAACGAAAAGTGTCAATCGAACCACACATCTCCCACTTGCCGGGCGGGTGCCTTGACCACTAGGCTACAGAGCGGCTTATGTTTCTTCGCTTACCAACCTATTAATACAAGCGACTCTTGATCCTTAAACTTTTATTCATATTTAAAAATACAAACTTAAACTTTTATCATACAAAACTATAACACGAATTTTATTTACATTGTTCAAAAGTCCACAGTATGATCACCTTGTTAGTTAACGAAATCACATGTAGGCGAAAATGACAAACCAACAAAAATCCAATCAATGCAATAAAATGAAAATTTATTTAAAACGAAAGGGGCACTTCAAGAGTGAAACAAACTAAAAAGCCCCCGATAAAAGCCTACTTTTTCCAGGCATTCGCAGTTTCCGCAGTCTTGCCCAAACTTGGAAACTGACTTTCCAAAGTGTGAAAATTATAGTGCTCTCGTAGCTCCCTCTTGAAGACGACCTGACTACAATTCTCACACAAAACCAAATGCTTCTTCGAGTCTGCGTCACAAACCCTATACAACTCCTGTTGCTTTTCGACGTCCGGTAGCAACACCAACAATTCCGGGAACAGTTCTTTGAAATTTGGCCCCAACACGGCCCTGCAGTACTCGTAGTACTGGTCAGCGGCCATATCGCCGTCTCTAAATTTCGTCGAATACGTCTTAAACTCCTTAATCATGTCATTGTTCAGCACGTTCATCGACCGTTTGATTAAATTTTGATTACGAGAAACAAAATTAGTCGGTTGGTGGTAACTGCTGGGTTTAATCGAGTACGACTGGCCGCTGCTACTCGTAAACGTCAAGTCGTTAGCGGCCGTCAAACTAGGGAAATTTTGGTTGGTGACGTTGAAACCTGGCGGCGGCTTCACGGGGAAACCCGGAGGTGGCTGGGGCTTCGAATTATCGTTCAAAGTCAAAGATCCTATATTCAGTTCTGATCGTTTCTTAACAATCCCGTTCTTCTCTTTTTGTTCGTACGACCTATCTTTACTTTCTTCACTTTGCTTAAAATTTTTTTCTCTTTCTTCGTACTTTTCTAGTTTAATATCACCATCGCCGTTGCTACTCGAATACGCGCTTTTCTTTTTGTGTTTTTTGTTTTTCGATTTACTATCCGATTCGCTTTGTTTGGAGGCGGAAATAGCGGTATCGATGTTCTTGTTAATCCTACTCGTGTTATTATTGCTACTCGTTTTAGAATTACTAGAATTACTAGCCCACGTACCAGACACCGGCACTGTGACACTCGACGACTTCTTCGCCTTCTCGCTTTTCGCTTTACTGAGTACAGGAAACTGACTTAAGTCACTTGGTGGTAACGCAGGCGCCGGAGCGACTTTACTTAATCTCGACTCTTGCTTTTTCGGTTTCTGGTGCACCCACTGGGGATTCGACGGTGCGCTGCCGCCGCCCAGAGCAGGAAAGGCCTCCACGGGCCTTTGATTCATGTTATAATTATTAGAATGTGAGGAGGTACTAGTAATATGCGTCGTTGTAATAGCTCCGTTGTGATTGACATGAATGGAGACATTGGGGGCGGAGTTTTGTACGTTGCTGCCAACACAAAACGTGAGTTGTGTGTGTCTTGAGTGGAAAGTACTTACTTTAAACTTAAGTGAACGGTGCTGGTTCCGGTGGATGGCGGTCCTAAGCAGGGGAAGTTCTCGGCGGTTTTGGTTAGGTTTTGGGCTGAACTGCCTCGGAGGGTGCGGGTTATGGTCACTCCGGAACCCTTTTTTCGCGAGGCTGACGAGTCGGTGGTTATTGTCACGGCGGGGGTTCGGGAACCACCTGTGGGTTAGTAGCTTTATTTTAGGCTGTTTGTGGTTGGAAGGGGACTCACCCAAAGAAGGAAAATCTTCTCCACTAAAAGGATTTACTTTTGAGGTAAAATTAACTGTTGTAGTGGGGCGACTTTGCACCGTTACGGTGGAATTTCCTAAGGCGGGGAAGTCTTGGGGGGTTAATGAGTGGATTTGTTTTATGCCCCCTCCGGGTCCCCCGGGCTCGGTGTCGTAACCGACAGCACCTTCGTCGTCGTTTCTACAATAATCAAAAATAATTAATTAAAAAAAATATATATTAAAAAATAAGGCTGCCCAAGGTCACTTCATTCAAAAAATTGTGAAAGTCTAATAGAACTCTCTTTTTTTAAACATAACACCCTATATATTTTTTACAGATTTTTGAATTCTTACAAAAACAGTAGAAAATTGTCAACTTATATTTTTGTTATGCAAAATAATTAACGTATTAAATTTTCCACCCCGCCATATTTAAAAATGGGGGTATGACGTTTTACTTTTTATTAAAAATTCAACAATTTTTTTAATTCATTTTTATAGGATGATTAAAATTTCAAATTGTCCGTTTTCTCATACTATTCAAATGGTACGTTCCGTATCCGGCGAATGGCTACTTTCATGTTTCCTCGTTTCCTGATCCTTGGAGTATGAAAAAGTAGGTCCTCTGTTTACACCCTTTTTGTCTTAAAAAAAATCAAAAAATTATATTACTTTTTACAATTTAACTTAGACAATGCAAACCCAAATGTTTGAAAATTTGTGCTTAACCCTTTCAAAAATTTGATGACGTCATTTCAAACTAATCTTTTGGATTAATGCTGTCTAAAATGTGCAACTTATTAACATTTAGAATTCCTTATACAGGGTGACTAAAGAAATCAATGAATTAGTAGTTATGTAGTTGGAATTGTAGTCACTTTGTGGCGGGAAAATTTGAATTCGTGAATATGGCCGACTTCTGATCATTTGATTGCGCATTGCGCCAGTTCTGGTTCACTCTTTGGTGCGAAATTTAAATCTTGACTCACCGAAGTGGGCCAAGATCAAATTTTCCCGCTAAAAATCCAACTAAAATCTCGACTATATAACTACGAATTATGACGTATTATGACAGTTGATGATTTCTTCTTCTGTGCTTTAGTTCAACTGTTAATATCTTGGCGTTTTTATCTTTAATAAGGTACGGAAGTTTTGCAATACGATCCATCCGACGAATGGCCACTTTCATGTTTTCTGGACGTTTCATGACTCTAAGAGTTCGAAAAAGTAGGTCTTGCGTTTCCCTCTGTCTATCGTCTGGCCGTGTCGATTTTTTTTTGTAATTATTGTCCTAGTGCACCACATAATTCTTTCACTATGACGGATAATGACGTATTATGACGCATTATGGCGGATGATGACGTATTATGACCGACAACGATGGATGATGATTTCTTTTTCTGTGAATTCAGGTAATTCTTTAAATACTGTCTCCATCTCTCCATGATTTCTGTTTAAAGTGACTATATTTTCGCGTTTTTCCGCACATTTTTGTATTTCTCGTAGTCTCTTACGTTTTTTATCCCTAGGAATTATGACAGATGATGATGGATTATGACAAATTATGATGGATAATAACGAATTATGGCGTATTATGACGCACTCTGACGGATGATGACGGAGTTTTTGCTTGTTATTACTTATTATGTTAAGATGATGGCGGATTATGACGTATTATGGTGGACTGTGACGGATGATGACGGATTAATAATTATAATTTAATATGATGGATGATGACAGACTATGACGGACCACGACGGATGATGATGTTGATGAGGGAAAATGTGTATTATATTAGGACTGATAACGGTTACGACGTGTTAGGACGTGCTATAACGAATAATGACGAAAAATTATGACGAAATATAACAGATTAAGAAGGATGGTGATTTCTTTAAATACTATCTTCATTTCTTCATGATTTCTGTTTCAACTATCAATATTTTACCGTTTTTATTATTCTTAATTATTGTCCTAGTGCATCATAGAATTTTTTCATTAGGTTTTCACGTCTTTCCTCACATTTTTAAATTTTTCGTAATCTTCATATTTTTTGTCCTTAGGAATTATGACAGATGATGACGGATTATGACGAACTATGACGGATGATGATGTATTGTGACATATTATGAGCGATAATAACGAACAATGGCGTATTATGACGGACAATGATGATGGTGACGGAAAGTTTGTATTTTATTAGGAGTATTTACTATCATGGATGATGGTGGATTATGACGTATGATGACGGATTATGGCGGATGATTACCGATGATGACGGATGATTACGGCTAATGACGAACTATGACGAATTATGGTAGACTGTGAGAGATGGTGATAAATTATTTATATGATTTTGATGGCCGAATAATAGTTATAATTTAATTTGATGGATGATGACCGACTATGACGGACCACGATGGATGAAGATGATGATGACGGAAAATGATTATTATTTATTAGGACAAATTATAACGTATTATGGTGGACTATGACAAAAAATGACGGTTACGACGTATTAGGACGTATTATGACGGAATATAACAGATTATGAAGGACAATGATTTTTTTAAATACTATCTTCATCTCTTCTGTTTCAACTGTCAATATCTTACCGTTTTTATTATTCTTAATTATTGTCCTAGTGCATCATAGAATTTTTTCATTAGGTTTTCAAGTCTTTCCTCACATTTTTGAATTTTTCGTAATCTTCATATTTTTTTGTCCTTAGGAATTATGACAGATGATGACGGATCATGACGAACTATGATGGATGATGATGTATTGTGACATATTATGAGCGATAATAACGAACAATGGCGTATTATGACGGACAATGATGATGGTGACGGAAAGTTTGTATTTTATTAGGAGTATTTATTATCATGGATGATGGTGGATTATGACGTACGATGACGGATTATGGCGGATGATTACCGATGATGACGGATGATTACGGATAATGACGAACTATGACGAATTATGGTAGACTGTGAGAGATGGTGATAAATTATTTATATGATTTCAATGGCGGAATAATAGTTATAATTTAATTTTATGAATGATGACAGATTATGACGAACCACTACGGATGAAGATGATGATGACGGAAAATGATTATTATTTATTTGGACAGATTATAACGTATTATAGTGGACTATGACAAAAGGTGACGGTTACGACGTATTAGGACGTACTATGACGTATTATGACGGAATATGACAGATTATGAAGGATAATGATTTCTTTAAATACTATCTTCATCTCTCCATGATTTCTGTTTCAAGTGTCGATATCTTATCATTATTTTTAATTATTGTCCTAGTGCACCATAAAAATCATTAAGTTTTCACGTGTTTCCTTACATTTTCGTATTTTTCGTTGTCGTCATGTTTTTTTATCCTTAGGAATTATGACAGATGATGGCGGACTATGACGTATCATGATGGATTATGACGGATAATGACGGATTATTTATATGATTTTGATGGTGGAATAATAATTCTAATTTAATATGATAGATGATGAAGATTATAACGGACCACGGCGGATGATGATGATGATGATGATGATGACGGAAAATGATTAGTATTATTTATTACTACATACAAATTATAACGTATTATGGTGGACTATGACGAATGATGACGGTTACGACGTATTAGGACGGACTATGACGGATAATGACGTATAATGACGGAATATAAGAGATTATGAAGGATGGTGATTTCTATAAATACTATCTTCATCTCTCCATGTGAATCCTAATTCTTTCATTAGGTTTTCACGTCCTTCCTCACATTTTTGTATTTCTTGTAATCTTCATATTTTTTTGTCCTTGGTCTATCATAAGAACTAAACAGATTATCACGGATTATGGTGGACTATGACGAATGATGGCGGTTACGACGTATTAGGACGGACTATGACGGATAATGACGTATAATAACCGAATATAACAGATTATGAAGGATGGTGATTTCTATAAATACTATCTTCATCTCTCCATGCGAATCCTAATTCTTTCATTAGGTTTTCACGTCCTTCCTCATATTTTTTTGTTCTTGGTTTATCATAAGGACTAAACAGATTATCACGGATTATGGCGGATGATTACGGACAATGACGAACTATGACGGATTATGACGGACTATGACGGATGATGGAGGAGTTTTTGCTTGCTATTAGATGATGACGGATCTTTTTGTATGATTTTGATGTTGGGATAATAATTATAACTTAATATGATGAATGATGACAGATTATGGCGGACCACGACGGGTGATGATGATGGAAAATGATTATTATTTATTAGGACAGATTATAACGTATTATGGTGGACTATGACGAATGATGGCGGTTACGACGTATTAGGACGGACTATGACGGATAATGACGTATAATGACGGAATATAACAGATTATGAAGATGGTGATTTCTATAAATACTATCTCCATCGCTCCATGTGAATCTTAATTCTTTCATTAGCTTTTTGCGTCATTCCTCACATTTTTGTATTTCTTGTAATCTTCATATTTTTTGTCCTTGGTCTATCATAAAAACTAAACAGATTATCACGGATTATGGCGGATGATTACGGACAATGACGAACTATGACGGATTATGACGGACTATGACGGATGATGGAGGAGTTTTTGCTTGCTATTAGACGATGACGGATCATTTGTATAATTTTGATGTTGGAGTAATAATTATAACTTAATATGATGAGTGATGACAGATTATGGCGGACCACGACGGATGGTGATGATGGAAAATGATTATTATTTATTAGGACAGATTATAACGTATTATGGTGGACCATGACGAATGATGACGGTTACGACGTATTAGGACGGACTATGACGGATAATGACGTATAATGACGGAACATAACAGATTATGAAGGATGGTGATTTCTATAAATACTATCTTCATCTCTCCATGTGAATCCTAATTCTTTCATTAGCTTTTCACGTCCTTCCTCACATTTTTGTATTTCTTGTAATCTTCATATTTTTTGTCCTTGGTCTATCATAAGGACTAAACAGATTATCACGGATTATGGCGGATGATTACGGACAATGACGAACTATGACGGATTATGACGGATGATGGAGGAGTTTTTGCTTGTTATTAGATGATGACGGATCATTTGTATGATTTTGATGTTGGAATAATAATTATAACTTAATATAATGAATGATGACAGATTGTGGCGGACCATGACGGGTGATGATGATGATGGAAAATGATTATTATTTATTAGGACAGATTATAACGCATTATGGTGGACTATGACGAATGATGGCGGTTGCGACGTATTAGGACGGACTATGACGGATAATGACGTACAATGACGGAATATAACAGATTATGAAGAGTGATGATTTCTTTAAATACTATCTTCATCTCTCCATGATTTCTGTTTCAACTGTCAATATCTTACCGTTTTTATTATTCTTAATTATTGTCCTAGTGCACCATAGAATTTTTTCATCAGGTTTTCAAGTCTTTCCTCAGATTTTTTTGTATTTCTCATCATCTTCATGTTTTTTGTCCTTGGTCCTTATGATGGACTATAACAAATTGGAACGGAAAATGACGATCTTCTATCTATTATGACAGATGAAAATCATTATGATAAACGAAAGATTTTCATTGTTATTATTTGTTATGATGGATTATGGTGGATAAGAGATTACTTATTATGACAGACTATGGCGTATTATGTGACGGATTATAACGAACCGTGACGTATTATGACGGATTATGATCAACTATGGCATATGGCGGACTATGATCAAATGATGACAGATCATGACGTATTATGGCGGATTATGACATATGATGACGGTCACGGCTTTATTTTTATGAGCTTATACTTAATTCTTTAAATACTCTCTTCATCTCCAAGATTTCTATTTCAACTTTCAGTATCTTTTTTAATCTTTAATATTTCTGAATTTATGTATCTTTTCTTAATTATTGTCCTAACGCATCATAGAATTCTTTCACTAGCTCTCCTCATACTTTTTATTTCTCGTAATATTCATGTTTTTTTTTTGTTCTTAGGAGTTATGATGGACTATGACAGATGATGACGGATTATGCCGGACTATGACGGATGATGACGGTTATGAGGGACGAAGATTTCTTTTTCTATGCTTTTGGTTGATTCTTTAAATACTGATTTCATCTCTCCATAATTTCTGCTTTAACTCTCAACATCTTGCCGTTTTTATGTTTAAAATTTCTCAATTTGTGTCTTTTTCTTGATTATTGTCCTAGTGTACCATAGGATTGTTTTTGATTTATTTCGCAATTTTCTCTATTTTGTGCCCAAAATCTGTTAATATTTTTGTTCGTTAACTAAGTTTCCACGTCTTCAGACTTCTGTGTTTCTGATAAATCTTCATATATTTTTTTTCCTTAAAATTATGACGGACTAATGCTGATGATGATGACGGAATATTTATATTATTTTGATTATTATAACGGACAGTGACGTATTATAATGATGTATAACCCTTAAATGAAACACTTGGATACTCGAAAACTAGTAGTAGTTATAGTTCTAAATGTGTTCTATCAGAATGTATTTATTTTTTTTTTTCAAAAATCAAGCTTAGGTCACCAACTCAATGGGAGAGCCTGTTTGTATAATAAAGAAATTGTTAAAAACAATTCAACAGTTAGAACAAGTGGACAAGAGAACAAACTAAAGCATTATGTAGCTTTTAAAGTAAAAAAAAGATTTTCTTGGCGAATAGAAAAAACATCGTCACAATTGAGATAGGGCGGGTGGGCGGGCTTACATTTTGCTTTTTTATCTTAATATGTGTAGACTTCTTTTCACAACAGGAAACTTAAAACATGTTTAAGATGGAAAATTTGGAAAAGGAAATATCGATTTTGTCCGCCATGTTTTACGTTTCTTGTTCTGAAAAAATGACAATGTACGAGCATATTAAGAAAAAATAGACAAAATATAAGCCCCGCCCACCCGCCATATTTCAATTCTGATGATTTTTTTTATTCGTCGTAAGCCGAGGGGTGGAGCCTAATTGAAAAATCCATATTTCTTTACAATAAAATTTACCATTTTAAACGTGTTTTAAGTGTCTAAGAATAAAAAAATCATCACAATTGGGATGGGGTGGGTGGGCGGGGTTTATATTTTGCCTTCGTTTCTTAATGTACATAGTTTTCTTTGAACAACACGATACTCAAAAACATGTTTTTAATTTATTGTAAGAAAATAAGTATTTTGCAGTTAAACTCCGCCCTGTTCGTTCTCGGCGAATAAAAAAAATCATCACAATTGAGACAGGGTGGGTGGGTGGGCTTACATTTTGTTTTTTTGTTTTAAGATGTGTAGACTTCTTTTCACAACAAGAAATTTAAAACATGTTTAAAATGGAAAATTTGTATAAGGAAAAATATTTCCTTGCAAAAATGTGCCATTTTAACCATGTTTCAAGTTTCTTGTTGTGAAAAGATGGCTAAGTATATTAAAAAAAAAAACAGACTAAATATAAGAAAAGTAATAAGAAATCATTAAGAAAAAACAGCCAAAAGCTTTGAAAATGTTCCACTATTACCCCCACAACAAATGTTGACTTGTCCCCTCCTCAACTACATAAATAAATACCGTTCAGCGCGCGCAGCTCCCTGCCTTTTACTCCTATCAGTCCCCGGCCTCGGCGCCAACGTGAACTCCAACTCGAGCGTCCTCGCCTGCTTATTCGCAGACTTGCTCAAGTGCCTCCCATGCTCCCTCGCTACATGAGCTACAACACCACCCTCAATCATCAAACCACCCTCAAACCCCCCCGAAAAAAATTATCACCTTTCAAATCGATGTCAGTCCTGAACACAGCTATTAGTGGCATATTACTGCACTCCCCCTCCTCGCAGAGGTAATGTTCATCACGGAAATGTTTACGAAGGTCATCCATCGAATTATAGTATTGGTGTTTGCCGTCGGCATCACAGTAATGACAGAACAAATGATTGCGACGCAAATGTCTGAACAACTCGTCGCTGTCCATGAACCGGGTATCACAAAACTCGCACAGGGGGTGGCCCCGGTGGGAGGTGTTGTCCGGGTCGCCCTTCCGCCGGTGGTACCCCAGCTCCTGCTTCGTGTAGCAGCGCCTCTCGAAGCAGAAGATCTTCAAGTTCTCCACGCAGAGGTCGCAGTAGACCAGGTTGTGCTCGCGCCGCATGTGGTCCTTGAGCTGCTGGAACGTGTAGAAGATGCACCGGCGGTTGCCGCCAGCTTTGGCGCAGAGGGCGCACCGGAACTCGAGGAGCTGTTGGTACGCTTTTTTGATGTCTTCGGAGCTGAAGATCAGGCCGTATTTGCGGTCCTGGAGGTGGGTGGTTTGGAAGGTGGAGAAGAGCGAACTGAAGGGGGATATTTCTTTAGTGAAAATGACCTGCAACGAGAAGTAACAGTAGTTTTAAAAACCGAGAGTATTGTAAGATTACACTTTTTGAAACAGAAAAATTTCAACATGTTTTTCTAACTTTTTTTTAGAAATCACTCCTAATGAAAATTTTATGATGACGGCAACATTATGATTAGTGTTATATTGTACATATATCAATATAGATCAAAATAGTGATCCCTAGTCCCTACTGAACCGCTGGTGACTGAAATTTCTTAGCTTCTAAAATATGAAAAAGTAGGTTTTTTTCCATCTACCTGTTTTGTTAGACACTTAATCCCGGAAATATCTAGATCGTTTGCTGCAGAATTTTAATCAAATTTTCCTTGTTCATCCATGACATGTTTCTATACCTGTGGTTTATTAATTGACCTTATTTTTGATCTTAAGATCTAAATTTTCAGAAAAAACTCTATTGTTCAATTTTTATTTTTTTTTGTTTCTTCAGTTTTTCTATTTGCAATATTTCGAGATAAATTTAAATTTTTTAGTTTTTTAATTTTCCAAATTTTGAATTTTTCAGTTCTTAGATTTGCAATTTTTCGGTTCGAATTTCTCGAATTTTCAATTTTTTTATTTGTAATTTTGTCAGTTTTTCGTTTCTTCTATTTTTCGATTCTTCAATTTTTTGTTTTATCAGTTTCAGTTTTTCTTTTCTACAATTTTACGACATGCAACTCTTCAAGTTTTAATTATTAAATTTTGCAATTGCACGATTTTCCATTTTTTTTTTTTAATTTTTTATGTCTTCAATTTTTCGTTTGGGTTTTTTATTTTCTTTATTTTCCCACTTTTCGGTTTTCAATGTTTCGATTTTATAATTTTTCTTTTTTCATGTGAAATATGTATTTCAATTTTTGGGATTTTTCAATTTTTCATTTCCTACTATTTTCAATTTGCAATTTTTTGTTTCAGTTTTTTATTTTTTGTTATTTTAATTTAAATTTTTAAAATTTTTCGTTTTTTCAATTTTACGACACCCAACTCCTTGACTTTTTATTTTAAAATTTTTCAGTTTATCGACACTTAATTTTTCGATCTTCCAATGTTACAATTTTTGGGTTTTCCAATTTTTGGATTCGAGTTTCTCGAGTTTTTGTTTTTTTAATTTTAATTATTTTCAGTGTTTGGTTTCTTCAATTTTTCGATTCTTTAATTTTTCATTTCTTCAAATTTTCGATTTTTCATTGTTCCGATTTTATAATTTTTTGTTATATCAATTTTAATTTTTCGTTTCTTCGATTTTTCAATTTGCAATTTTTCAATTTTTTAATTTTTTTGTTTCTTCAATTTTCCGATTTGTAATTTCACGAGTTTCCAATTTTTAATTTTTCTGTTTTTCATGTCTTCAGTTATCCGATTTGCAATTTTTCGTTTGGATTTTTTATTTTATTTATTTTCCTCATTTTTCGGTTTTTCAATGTGAAATTTTTCACTTCCTCCCATTTTAGATTTGCAATTTTTCGTTTTTCATTTTCTGTTTTTTCAATTTCAATTTTTTGAATTTTTCGTTTTTTCAATTTTACGACATGCAACTCTTTGAGTCTTCATTTTAAAATTTTTCAGTTTTTCGATTTTCCAATTTTTGGATGTTTCACTTTTTAGATTTTGCAATTTCACGAGTTTTCAATATTTAATTTCACAATTTTTAGATATTCCAATGTTAAAATTTTCCGACTTAACAAATTTGACGATTATATAATTTCTTGATTTTACAATTTTTGGATTCGTGTTTCTGAGCTTTCAATTTTTAATTTATCAATTTATCGGTTTGCAAATTTTCGTTTAGGTTTTTTATTTTCTTAATTTTTTTGTTTTTTCAATTTTATTTTTTTTTGTCTTCTCGAATCTTCGATTTTTCGATTTGCAATTTTTTATTTCGGTTTTTTATTTTCTTTATTTTTACAAAATTTCCATTTTCAATGTTTTCTACTTTTCATTTTCAAATTTTGGATTTGCAATTTTACGAATGTAATCAATTTTAATTTTCAATTTTTCGATCTTTCAGTGTCACAGTTTTTCGACTTCACAATTTTGACGATTCTAAACTTTTGAGTTTTCCAATTTTTGGCTTTTCTAATTTTTCATGTTTCCAACTTTTCGTTTAGGTTTTTTCTTCATGTTTTCGATTTTTCGGTTTTTCAATGTTCGGATTTTATTTTCTTAATTCCTTAACGTGAAAATTTTCAATTTTTGAATAGTTCAATTTTTGATTTCTTCCTATTTTCGATTTGCAATTTTTCGACTCTTCAATTTTACGACATGCAACTCCCAGTTTTCAATTTAAAATTTTTCAGGTTTTCGATTTTACAACTTTTGGAGTTTTAGATTTTGCAATTTTTCGATTTGCAATTTCACGAGTTTTCAGTTTTAATTTTTCAATTTTTCTATGTTTCAATGTTGCAGTTTTCCGACTTTACAAGTTTGACGATTCTATAATAACTTTTGGATTTTACAATTTTTAGGTTTTCCAATTTTTTGATTCGAATTTCTCGAATTTTCAATTTTTTATTTATCAATTTTTTGATTTGTAAATTTTTGTTTAGGTGTTTTATTTTCTTAATTTTTTTGTTTTTTAATTTTAATTTTTTTAGTTTTTCGTTTCTTCAATTTTTCGATTTCTTTAGTTTTTCAATTCTTCAAATTTTCGATTTGCAGTTTTTCGTTTAGGTTTTTTATTTTCTTTATTTTTACAAAATTTCGAATTTTCAATGTTCCAGTTTTTAATTTTTTCAATTTTTCGTTTCTTCAATTTTACGACATGCAACTCGAGTTTTCATTTTAAAATTTTTCAGTTTTTGGTTTTTACAACTTTTGGATGTCTAAATTTTTAGATTTGGCAATTTTTCGATTTGTATTTTCATGAATTTTCAATTTTAATTTTTCAGTTTTTCGATTTTACAATTTTGACGATTCTATAATAACTTTTGGATTTTACAATTTTTAGGTTTTCCAATTATTTTTCGATTCGAGTTTCTCGAGTTTTCAATTTTTAATTTAGAATTTTTCGATTTGGAAATTTTCGTTTCGGTTTTTTGTCTTTATTTTTTTGTTTCCCAATTTTAATATTTTTAGTTCTTCGTTTCTTCAAATTTTCGATTTGCAATTTTTCGTTTCGGTTTTTCATGTTCTTTATTCTTACAAAATTTCGAATTTTCAATGTTCCGATTTTATTTTTTCAATTTTTCGTTTCTTCAAATTTACGACATGCAACTCTTTGAGTTTTCTTTTAAAATTGTTCAGTTTTTCGAGTTTATAACTTTTGGATGTTTCAATTTTTAGATTTTTAATTTTTCAGTTTCTCGATATTTAATTTTTCAATTTTTCGACTTTACAACTTTGACGATTCTATAATTTTTCGATTTTATAATTTCTGGGTTTTCCGATTTTTCTATCAACTGATTTTTTCTTCTTTTCAATTTTTCGATTCATTAACTTTTTCGAATTTTAAGTTTCTCGATTTTTAGTTTTTCAATATTTCCATTTTTCATTTCTCCAGTTCTTCGATTTACAATTTTTCGATTTTTCAACTTTTCGAATCCAAAAAATGGAAAAATTACAAAACATTGAAAAATCAAAAATAAAAAAAACGAAAATGTATAAAATAAAAAATTTAAAAATGGAAAACAAGAACTTGAACAATTGAACAAACGAAAATTTCAAAAATCAAAAAATTAAAAATTGAGAAACTTAAAAATCGAAAAAACGAAGTATGTATTGTAAAATCGAAATATTGAAAATTAAAGAAATCGAAGAATTCAAAAATCAAAGATTAAAAACTTGAAAAATTGAATCAACGAAAAATTATAAAACCAAAAAGTGTTATATAAAATCCAGAAAATGGAAATTAAAGAATCGGAAAAATGAAAGTAATAATCAAGAACTTTAAATATTGAGGAAACGAAAAATTGAAAAATTTGGAAGTCAAAAAATCAAAAAAATTAAAATTGAAAAAAAGTTAAATCGAAGGATTGAAAAATGGAAAAAATGAAAAACAAAAAATTGTGATAAAAAAAATTGGTCGAAGGAAAATAAATCGAGATTTTTAAAAAAATATATAAAATTTGATTTTGCGAATATTATTATTTTATGGTAACACTTACAAGTTAAAATAAAAAAATCGATAGAAATATGAAGACACGGAAGGGCGGACAGAAGATGATAAAGAAAGACGAAAACGGGCACAAAAAAATTGCGACCAAAAAAGTAAAAAGTTCAATCAGAGACACAAAAAAGACCAAGAAAAATCGTGACACAGAAAGGTGAAAAAAAGGCGGAAAAATGGACAAAAAAAATCAACAAAATAAATGTGACAAAAAAAGGCAAAAATGAAAAAAAGGTGATAAAAACGGCGACACGCCAAAATGGAGATAAAAAAGGGTGACAGAAAAATGACCACACAAAACGTCAAAAAAAAAACATGTCAAACTGCAAAAAATTTTCGTTTTTCAGTGTTATAATTTTTCTTTTCTTCAGTTCTTCGATTTACAATTTTTGGATTGTTAATTTTTCGATTTTTCAACTTTTCGAATTTAAAAAAAATCCTAAAATGAACACTTTGAAAAATCTAAAAATGGAAATCACGAACTTAAAAAATCGAAAGATTAAAAATTGAGAAACTTCAAAATCGAAAAAATGAAGAATGTATTGTAAAATCGAAATATTGAAAATTAAAGAAATCGGATAACTGAAAATCCAAAAATAGCAAAACTGAAAAATTTAAAAATTGGAAAATCGAAAGAAACATTGAAATGATTAAGGAAATGAAAGAGGAAAAATTGTGATATCAAAAAATTGGTCGAAGGAAAATAAATCGAGATTTTTCAAAAAAACATAAAATTTGATTTTGCGAATTTTATTATTTTATGGTAACACTTATAAGTTAAAATAAAAAAATCGATAGAAATATGAAGACACGAAAGGGCGGAAAAAAGAATATAAAGAAAGACGAAAACGGGCACAAAAAAATTGCGACTAAAAAAGTGAAA